GTTTAAGTGACATGTTGGCACAGAGAAGAATAAGCTAGGACTAAAAAACATCTTCCACATAAACAAAATCCACCAAATGCCCATGCTCCTGAGAGCCAGAAATTAGAGCCAGACATGTAATTTTTGTGCAATCATTTTGTCCCTTTCAGAAGAGACAAGAACCGTCTCTTGAATCAGTTAATCAAAATCTCAGCTGATTAAACAACCCGTAGTTTGTTTCCCAGAGAGCTAATTGAGAACATTTGATATTCAGAAATGAAGCTGGTTTCAATGGGCACAGCCATCTCCATCTCCACAGTGCAGGATTCAGCTCCCAGGCAAACCTGGCACTCCACTGAATCAGGTTTGCAATGCAAATAGCCAAGATAGGGAGGGGGAGAGAAAAACAGGAAAAAAATACTCAATCATAATCATCATTGTTCCTTGCCCAAGAAGTGAAAGCACTTTCTGTTCAACTTCTGGGCTGCAGGAACCTGGAGAGATGAATGGGCAGCAGAGCATTGCTCCAGGAGTCTCTCCGGCCACAGTGGGTCCTATCAGATGGAATCTTCTCACAGCAAAGGACACCAGACCTGATGTGGGTTGTGGGAAGGCAAAGCACCTCAGAGGATGTGCCTGGAGGGGCTGTGGCATCCAAACAAAGCAGTACCAACAGACCTTTTCCAGCAGCAGGACAGCAGGACAGCAGGACAGCAGGACAGCAGGCTGCATCACCAAAGGTACTGGAGGTGTCCAGGCCTGGAGCAGGACTGTGCTGGAAGGAGGGTGTGGAGAACCTCATCCTCCTGTGCTGATGTGAAGCCCCATTTCTGCCCAGGTTACCATGGGGTGCAGCTTTACCTTGCACTCAGCTGTTCCTTGCTTAGTATTCAGGAACAGATTTCGAGCTCCTTTACCTTTGTCTCTGACCCCATCAAAATGTCACATTGCTTTTATGCAACACCAAACCGTGAGTTTTCAGAGCTCGGAGCACCACCAAAGCAGAGAGCTGCAAGGCTGCTACCAAGGCATTTTGGCTCCTCTCACAGGGAACAGCATCAGTCTGGACCCCAACTACACCAGCAGTACCTTGCCAGCATCTCCTCCCACTCCTTGGCTGCTGTTAAGTGTTGTAGAGCATTCAGCTTCATAGCCATGGGCACAGAGGGTTTGTGTAAATCAACTTTATTCTCTGGGTATCAATGCATTTAAAGTCACAGAGAATCACAATTCATAGGTGGAAGCTGTCAGACCCATTTTAAGAGCTTCTGGCCCAGCAAGTGCCCAGCTGATGTTGGTAAAAGCAGGGGCAGCACAAAGCTCCCAGCCTGCCCTCACTGGCTTTGCAGGTCTCAGCATGCTGGAGCTGAAGGTCCTGCTGGCAGCAGCACAGTGATCTCGGGGCTGACATGCTCTGCTTCACACTGGGACTAATTAGTGCAAGCAGAGAAGCTCATCAGCATCATTACCTGCTCCTGGGGCAGCCCTGCACAACCCTGTCCCCCCCCAGCTCTGGAGCTGAACAGGTTGGGAGCTGCCCTGACCATATCCCACTACATCTCTGCACCCTAAACTGATCCCAAATTAGTGATTTATGATACAGCTCCCTGTGGCATCCGAGCAGCTGAGGGTGCAGGGGAGGAAGGTGGATTCATGTTCCCCAGAGGATGTTGTTCAGCATCCCAAAGGCAGGTGATCAGTCTTTCCCTCCATCCCCTGCCATCAGCCCTCTGGCAGTGACTCAAAGGATGGGAGGTGGCACTGCCAAGTGCAGAACAGGCTGGAGAACCTGGGCAGCTTCAGTTCTCCATTGGGCACAATCCTCTGGCAAAAGTGACAGTCTGGGGAAGCTGTGAAGGCTTCTGAGAAGAGACACCACTCCTGTGAATCACCCTCCCTGCACACTCCAGCCTCTGCTGGTGTTTGCCACCGGAGAGAAGAGCTCATTTAGAGAGGGGACAGGGGGAGAATAAAGCCATTAAAGGAAGAGCTGTGAGCCTGAGGAGGGATAACACACAGAGCAGCAGAATGCTGGTGCCACAGCCCTGGCTCCCCCTGAATGGACTGTGCAGCTCCTGGGAGCAGCCCCTGCTCCAGTGAGCAGATCCCTCCCCAAAGGACTGTGCTCTGCAGCTCTGAAAAATGTACCAGACAGAAAAGGGATTCTCAAAATCCCCTGCAAGGACTACATTTGTTCAGCCAACCACCACGTCCGACCTCCCCCTGCTTTCCCAGGGGCTCAGAGGTGCTTCTTCCTTCCCAGGGGATGCAGAGTGTGAGTGCCAGCCCAGGGAGCTGTGGGTCAGACAGAGCAAGCTTTGTCCAGTGTCGTGGTAACATCTTAAAGAGTTTCACCTCTTCATTCATGAACATAAAACTTGTTTGACTTTACATTTGCAACGACTTTTTCCTTTTAAAATTGACACATCTTGTTAGGAAAAATAAGAAGAGTTGTAGACAACTCTGCAAATATAACAGGATTTCCCAGGTAAACATTAATCTAATGTTTTAAAGCCCCATTCTGCCACTAAACCAAATGTATATATTTAATTATGTGTGTCCATACATCATATGCACAGATATTGGACATTATTTGTGCAATTCCAGTAGTGTTGATGTTAATAGTAACATATCATTATCTCCCCAATAATCTTCAGGCAGCTCCCCATAAAGCACTGTTGAAACCTCCTGAAACAACAGCTAAAACCAAGAGTGAAAAATCACCCAGCAGCATCTTGGTTTTGCCTCCAGCTTCAGCTGGGAGGAGGGAAGGAGGGCAGACCGTGTGAGCAACGGAGAGAAAAATGCTGCTTGGTCATTGTTTGTGAGGAACAGCAGGTTTGTGAACATAATTTTGCCAAAACACCCCAGAGAAACACATGACACATTCAGCGTGCTCCTACTGCCAGATGAAACAACTGGTATTGATGGGACTCACAGCACAGTTCCTGCACGAAGATACCTGGTGAAAAACCCAGTGTGGATGTTTGGAACTCATGCTCACCACACCATTAACCTCCCAGAGACACTTCCCAGGCAGTCAAGGAGAAAGGAAGAAGCTCATTAATGCCCCTGGGTTATTTTGGAATGTTTTTTTTTCAGTTCAGCATCCTCCCAACTGCACCTTGCTGCCAGCTGGTTGTTTCCCTGGGGCCTGGGTGCACACACTGCTCCAGTCACAGCTGCTCCTCCACCCGTGACCCACCTCATCTTCCCCCTCCACTGCCCAGCTTTTCTCTTCTCCACTGTCTCCCCAGCTAATCCAAGCTATGAAACTGGTACAGACATTCATTTTATCCACCCCAGCAAGGCAGTTCGCTGCTTCTAAAAATACCCCAGGAAATTGAATCAACATTTTGTAATTGGCTGGTAACAGCAATTACTAATAATAAGCAGGAACATAATTTTCATCATTTTCTACTCCAGCTGTAATGTAATCTCAATAGCAAACTTTGGTTTGCACACTAAACAAACACGATGGCCACTATGAGAAAAACAGAGAGACAACATGGAATACCAAAAAACAGCCTTAAAACTAAACAAACTTCTATCAAATAGCAAATAACTGTAATTCCAACAGCCTTTGGGAAAGATAAAGTTAATATTGTTCCCATGTTCCCCTGCAAAATGGAAAAACCAAAGCTGCTCTCCACTCCTCTTCACTCAGTGGCAGCAGCACTCAGAATTGCCACCCCAGCACCTGGGCATGCTGGAGGCAGGTCCCCTCCTGCCCAGCTCCCACAGACCCCCCCATTCCCTGTGCAGGGAACAGGAGACAGAGCAGGGTGAGGAGCACACCCATGACCTGAAGGACTGCACTGGATGCAAGGCTGCAGCCAAGCAAACCACCCGTTTCACAGTGAAAAACACCTCTTCAGAAGGAAGCCCTGCTCTGAAGTAGGTTTTCTGGAGAATGAGAGAGCTCTTGCAGATAAAAAACAAGGGATATTTTCCTTCCCCAGCCTGATAAATTTGCTGTAGGTGTCTGTGCTTTCCCAATCAATAAGCAAGTGCCAGTTCATGCAAGGATTTCACTTGGAAGGAGGTTCAGCTCACCTCTTTTCCTTCCAGCCAAGAACAGCAAGATGCTGTGCTGCTCTCTGCAAAGCACCTGCACAGGGCTCAAAAGCACCTCAGACCCCACCAAAGGCAAAGGCAGGTAGAGGGGAGGGAACCTCAGCTGCCAACCCCAGCTCAGTCTGTCAGCATGGTTTGATCTGTCAGCGTGGTTTGGTCACTGGGCACAGCACAAACTCCTGATTCTCAGTGAGAGCAGGGAGGTGCCATCCTTGGCTTCAACTTTGGTGCAGTGTCACACCAAAGCACTCCCAGAGCCTCCTCTGCCCCCATGTTCCCTGCTGCTGCTGTGGCTGGATGCTGACAGGGCAGAGCTGCTCCTGGTCCAGCCCCTCGTGCCTGGCCCAGGATCCCACCTCGGGCTGTGGGAGCAGAGCACAAAGCACCCACAGCAGTGGGACAGGGCTTGGGCTGAGCCTGCCTCGAGGAGAGGGTCACTTCTGCTAAGTGCTAAAGCAATCACTGCTTCCCAGGGCACAGTTTGGACAGGAGGTGAAGCAGGCAGGGTCCCAGTGCGGGAGATACAGAGACATCACAGAGACAAGACCACAAATAATAAATTAGCTGGATGGGACCATGCTTAGAGAGATTCACACCATTGCCTTTTATAGCACAGCAAAGCTTTTAAATAAAGTGAAAAAGTTCAAGAGACATTTAAATGCCCCCGTGGGTAAAACTAAGCATAAGTTCAGATGCTGTAAGGATCAGGTTGCACTAAAGAAAATGGCCTAAAAAGCAAACCACAAAGACAAAAGGAGTCATGGAGGCTGCCACAACGAGACACAAACCAAGCAGAAATGGGGAGTTTGCAAAGTTTTGCAAAGGCAGTTGCAGCCCTGCAGCCTGTGCAGAGCTCAGCTCCCTGGAGAAGCAGTGCTGCTGTGCACCCACCCCACGGCCCAAAGGCACTGGGAAATGGGAGAGCATCAGCAGGAGGGACTTACTTAGTGTTGTCTGAGTCAATGGTGTGAAAGAGCTTCTCAAGTTCTTCTTCGTTGAGCGTCCCATCAGAAAAAAAGGCCTGGAACTCCTCCAGTGACAGCTTCCCATCGTCTGCAAACAGCAACACAGCCACATTAGGGAACCAGCAAAGAGAGGGGCAAGGCTGAAAATCAAGAGTTATGTTCAGATTTAAAGATTCAGACCAAAATTATCTCCAAGTGCCCCTGCAGAACTGGCTCACAACCAGTGCAGATCTCACTGGCCCCAGGGTGGGACCTGAGGGTCTGCCCAGCTCTGGCAGACCCAGGGCTACATAAAGGTGCTCCTGGGTATGGATGCACTGGCCACTGGCAACTAATTGGGCTGTTAACCCAAAGCATGACTCAAACCTAAGGAGAAAAATCTGGCAAGCTGCACCCTGACACTGCCTTACATTTAAGAAATTATGGAGCTTCTTTTCTCCCCTGGGTTCAAATGCTGCAGGACATTAAGGGACATCTGGGCTGGAATTAAAACAGACCCCGCAGCATCTTCTGCCACCTCCATCCACCTGCATCTTCTCACAGTGTCTCCCCACTCTGGACACAAACCCAAAAGAGCTGCTGTAACAAGACACATCTGGCTTCAGTTGTCAGCTGTTTGAACACACAAGGGCTGTCTCACCTCAGTGTTGTGCCTTTAGTTCTACAGGGACCCGCTGATGCACAAAATCCATCTCCTGCAGCCACAGGGCTGCAGCTTGCTGGGTGCCTTTTGGCAAACATTCCAGTGCACAAAGGAGTCACCACACAGAGGTTTAACAACCTTCTCCTGGGCACCCAGAGAGCAGCTTGCTGTAATTCCAGCAGCAAGCTCCAAACTCACCCTTAAATGCTTATTTTGGTGCCGGCTCAGTTCACTGGCACTTGAGCAGCCTCATCTCCAGCTGCAGGAATAGGTCCTGCAGACAGTCACTGCTTGTGGGAAAGTGTCTCTGCTCTCAACTCAGAGGCTGAAAAATGACATCCAGATTTGAAAATCTGGCCATACACTTTGTATATTATTTTGCACATTGGTCCCAGTGTTAATTTAACACTGGAGCTGCTACAGCCTCCTTAAATGACCAAGAAAGACAAGAAATTATCAAATCCATGAAGGGGCTATCATAAGGACTTCTTTGCAACTTTGGCTGATAAGGTGACAAAGGCTTACACTTAACTGATAAATCTGGATAAATCTGATAAAATTGGATAAAACCGAAAAAACTGATAAATCTGACAGATCTGTGCTCTATGGACAGGCACACAGATGCATGTGAGAAAGCCCAGAGAAAGCTCCTGGAAAGTTCAGCAGTAAAGCAACAGGAGAGAGAAAAAAGATACTTTAAGGAAACCTTAATTTACCTCTAATTTGTTGTTCAATCTGCTGGCACTGTGCTCTGGTGTGCAGCAGTACCTGGGAGAAAATAACTACCCCAGGCCACATATTATTTAAAGTCTTTCCATTCATATCCACAGAAGAGCCATGGGCTGGAAATGCTGCCTACTTTGCAGTAGGAGAATGTATCATTTATTATTTAATCAAATCAATTGCAAACCCTGTTATTTCTTTTTCAGAAAATGATGCTGGAGGACAAAATTAGCCACCTCACCACACACACATCAATATTTCTTCCCCAAAGTACATAAGTCTGCTGCTCCTAAAACATACCTGCATTGCCCAGTGCTAACCCAGCCTCCCTGGCTGACACAGACCAATTTAGACCGGTGATAAACTGAGTCTAAGATGCCTATTTAATTGGCAATCATGAAAGGAACACAGCCAGGGAACAAAGTCTCCAGCAGCACTGGGTGAAGAGGGCACCGTTTCCAGAGCACCACAATGGTTACAGACAGGGTCCAGCTGCCTGGATTGTTTTTGTGCATTTCTTCCCCAAAACGTGCCCTCCCTGCACGGGCAGGGAGCAGAACAGAACTGCCAGCTCAGCACACGGGCCCCAGGCTGGCTCTGCTTACAAACACTGAGGGATCTGTGCTTCAGCAAGGACCTGCTGCTTGGAGCATCCAACAGAACAACCTGGAACCACCCAGGTGGTGACATTCACCTGCCCAAGGAGATGAACATGTCCAGAGCAAGAGCTCCATCACACCCCCAACTCCATCTCTGGCTTCTCCTGATCCTGACTGGCAATGAATACATGTCTTCAAGCACCAGCATCCAAAGGGTAACAGCATTTCTATCCCATGAGGGCTAAAAACTTCTTTATATACAGAACACTTTACCTGTAAAAACCTTAAATCAGCGCTTGTTCACCTCAAAACTGTCCTTCCACACAGAGGGCAGGCTTAAATAAATTCCCAGGAAAGTCACATAAATCAACTTACTGGGAAAGAGAAACTGTAAAGTGAAGTGGGTTTTTTTTCAGGAGAGTACTTTGATCCAAATTTACAGCTTGCTCAACTCTGAAAGACACAAAGGTGTTTCTAAGCTTAAGGAAAAAAACCCTTTTTCCTTTATCTGGTTTGTATCTTAAAGCTTCTCTCTTTCATTTTACTCTTGCTTGGTTTGTTTTGCTTTGGGCTTTTTATTTTTGGAGTAATGTGCTCTAGGACACATTTTTGTTGCAGCCCCTGAAATGTCAGTGTTTAAAATCTGTGCCAAAACACTGCTGTGACTCCCATCTCACGGCCCCAAAGGAGAACAGGGTGGCAGTTACCAGCCACCGTGACAGGCTGGATCTCTGGAAACCAGCATGCATTGAATTCTTGTTGGCATTTAGCAGCCCAGAGCAATACAGGATGATCAAAGGATCTAGAGGAAGGTGGAAGTGACAGTGACTTTTATTTCGTTTTTATTTTTTGGAGACCCCACAGAAGTGCTTGATTCCTGGCTGGAATTTGAATAAAAGCACCAATTTTAAACACAAGCAGTGCTCAAGGCTCTCATCCCCCAACAACCATCACCACAAAGCACCAGTCAGCCTAAAGCTGATGGCTGTTTAATACCAGCTGGAATCCTTGTCTGCAAACACACAAAGCAAAAGCCTCCCCGAGCCAGGAGATAATCCTTGGGCTGCATATCTGTAATTGTGGGGTGGCCTGAGAGCTGCTGGTGCTGGAGCCCAGCAGGCAAGGAGGCCTGCAGGGAATCCGGGTGATAAGGGGAAGAAGACTGGGCTGGGATTTGCCAGCTCAAATTAAACTGGTAAAACTCCAGGGCAGAGCAGAGTGACCCCACCATTCCTGATGCCAGGGGTGCTGTGATAAGGGCTGGTGGGACACTCTGCTCCAGGAGCAGCCTTATCAGGGCAGGCACAGCTTTTCCTCACAGCACAAGTATCTACACTCAGTGGAGAATGGATAAGACTTCCAGAAACCATCTTTCTGCTGAAAGCTCCTGGGCTCAGGAGACAGGAATTCTCCAAATGCACAGATGCTGCACCAGCTCACTGCCTTTGGATAGGGAGGATAACAGAAAAACTGGGATTCCACGTCAAATCTCGCCAAACAAAGTTTCCATCTTTGAGATCTAGATCCACAGAACTATTTGTGACTTTTTCATCTGGGTGACCACACTAAAACCCAGGCAACATCCTTTCACTGGCTCACCCTCTCCCCTTTCAATCCAGCACTTGAGGTCAACACCTGGCTGGCAGCAAGGACAAGTGCCCCTAACTAGAAATCAGCTCCCCTGGCACTGATTGGCTGAGGAAAGAGATAATCAGGCCCCAGCCATCCTGCCATCATTTCTTCCTTAGAGCAATCCTCATTTTACTCTAGCTTTTCAAAATAATTCAGTCACAGGCAAAGGCCAAAGCAAATTACCAGCCTAAGAGTCATCAAAGTTAAAACTAACTGAAGAGAGAAGGACGTAACAGGGAACATCAGAAGGCCCCAACTGGGATGTTATTATATCTCCATTTCCCATCATGAAAATCTGAGTCCAGAGGTGGCTTTTACACCTCCTAACTCACACAATCAGGCTGTTCTCACCCACTAACACAGCCCAGGGAAAAATCAAACTGAGCTCATAAATCGTCCAAAGTATGGGAAATCTGATGGCTGAGTTCAGGAAATTCACTCAGTGATACAAATAGCTTAAAGCAGCTACAAAATAAGGTACTGTTCTGAGCCCAAGTTTCCTAAATCTGTTTTCAATTACATGAGGCTGAGACTGCTCATATATTTTCTAGCTATATTATGAATATATTTTCTAGCTATATTATGAATATATTTCATTACTTACTTCTATTACTCTGTGAGCTCTAAAATGCTTTAAGCTCAGTTTAGTGTGCAAGTGTCCAAGAGCTCTAGATTGGATTTTATTGTGGCCTGCAAATAAAAAACGATAACTCTATTTTTTTGTTCTTTCTTGTGTGTGCGTGTGCAGGGACACCTGAGCCAGTGAGAACAGGGCCTGGCTTCTCCCTGGACCCTCCATCCAGCCCTCTGGGAGCCCTGGGAGAGGCTTCATTCATTCAAACCAAGGTGGACACGGGCTGGAGTTTTCAGTCCTGGGCTCTTGGGAAAAATTCCCTCCAGGTCCACAGCTGTGCTCTGTGCTGAACCCTTCCCCTGGGCAGAGGGGGGCTGTGTCCCTGCAGCACCCAGCCTGCTCCCAGAGTCACCCCCAGCTCCTCAGCCCTCGCTCAGGCTCCAGCAGCCAGCACAGAACCATCCACCCCTGGGATTGCAGTCACACAGGGGCCTCTGGGGCAACTGCACCGAGCTGGAAGCAGGGCTGGGGATCCACCCCCAGACCTGGGGATCCACCCCACACCTGGGGATTCACCCCAGACCTGGGGATTCACCCTCAGACCTGGGGATTCACCTCCACACCTGGGGATTCACCTCCACACCTGGGGATTCAACTCCACACCTGGGGATCCACTCCCAGACCTGGGGATTCACCCCCAGACCTGGGGATCCACCCCCTGACCTGGGGATTCACCTCCAGCCCTGGGGAACCACCTCCTGACCTGGGGATCCACCCCCAGACCTGGGGATTCACCCCCAGACCTGGGGATTCACCTCCACACCTGAGGATCCACCCCCAGACCTGGCTGGAGCTGCAGAGCCAGGGGAGCTGTGCAGGAGCTGTGCAGGAGCTGTGCAGGAGCAGCACAGCCCACG